ACAAGCGCTGTGAGGACGTCACAGCCACTTGGTGGCGAACGGCAGTTGTTGTGGTTGTTGTGACCAAATTTGTATAACTTTATTGACACCGGGCAAGATGCTTGGGGTGCGTCTTATTTTCGGAGTGATGTATACGGCGTTTGTTTGTTGTGTAATGCATTCTTCGAATAACTTTTAAGATGTATAATAATAGTAATAACGATAATAGCTTACAGCCATTTGTCAATTAACTGTTCGATTAAGGCCTGCCCATGCTGTGTCAGTCGCAGGGGTTCATCTTCTTGGTTCTTTCGGTAAGGTCACGTAGAAGGGAAGTAATAAAATAATACAAATAAAACATAATAAAATAAAATAATTCTCACGACGTTTCGGCTACAATGCAAGCAGCCGTCTTCAGGTGTGTTGTAGCGGAAACGTCGTGAGAATTATTTTATTTTATTATGTTTTATTTTTATTATTGTATTACTTCCCTTCTACGTGACCTTACCGAAAGAACCAAGAAGATGAATCCCTGCAGTCACGAAAGCTTTAAATCGAAATTTAGTCGCAGGGGTTGTTTGACCATACTTCACTACGCTGGTTGCTGAAGGACGGACTCGGGATCGGAGAATACTGTGTCAGAGTGACGACACGTTCTTTTACGAGCCGATAATATAATATCTTCTATATGACTTTAGTAGTGGTGGAGATTTGTAAAATCCCCATTCGTCATTCTCATAATTCTACAGGCATTCGGCTTTATATTTGTGGTGGCTTTCTTGCGCGAAATGCCCCGTGATGTGTGTATGTATGTTGAACTTCTTTCGCACCGTATGTAGCCAACCGTGTTAATCTGAGGTGGTGGGGAGGGGGGGATGAAGACGACAAACTGAACATAAAAATCAGTTATCAAGACATTCGTTTTCAATTTGGGTTAATACATTTTTAATTCACACTTGTGTTTACATCGGTGGTAAAATCTTTCGTTGTGATTGTTTGTTTAACTCAAAAAAATTGAGTTGCCAGATCTTCTTCAAGAACAACTGGAATATGTTACTGTCCCCCTTGGTCAATCCACTGCTGTTGTCTACATTTTTATATATAAAAACCCGGCTTGGGATGTATTTATTATATATTTTTCCGAAATTCAATAAAGCTGTCTGTGCGGTCGTCACTCTATGGACCACGCCATGCGCGGGTCATTGTGGCGCTTTAAAAATGAATTCCTCTTTGTAAAACTACATGAAGGTTAAGGGGCAGTCCCTGCAATTTCTTGAAGCATAGCACACACAAACAATCTATACAGATGCGAAATACAATAACAAAGTTACAGAAAAAGTGATATCGCGATAATCTTCTTGGTTCTATCGGTAAAGTCACGTAGAATGGAAATAATAAAATAATAAAAATAAAACATAATAGAATCATTCTCACGACGTTTCGGCCACAACGCAAGCAGCCGTCCTCAGGTGAAGAACAGGTCTGTCGAGAAGACAGAATCTGAAATTCTACGTGACTTTACCGAAAGAACCAAGAAGATGAATCCCTGCAGTCACGAAAGCTTAAATCGAAAATCGCGATAATCATCAAATCGTGACTTTTTACATCATATTGTATTGTGACATTTGCATCGCGGCCAGCCCACTGCTGGTTATTACGGATAAGTCCGGCTACTGCGCTCGCTTCCACGGCGCACATGCCCTGCTCATAAAACGTGGTCGGTTTGAGCATTCCTCAATAATGAGCCGGGGTTTGATGTTTGATTTAAAACAGACACAGAAGTTTGGCTCCATGGGTTCTATGTAAGTCTGCGAATTTATTGTGCTGATACGGATCGTATGTTAGTTCTGTGTATTGTGTCTCTGCGTTCGTCTTTAGGTTCTGTGTAAGTCTACACATCCTATGTAAGTGTATGGGCCTCTTTGTGTGTGTATATGGGTCTCCACGTAAGTCTCTGGGTTCTGTTTCATTGCTTTTATGGCTTTATTTTGGTGATTTTCGAAAAGTTTTTTGGTTTGGCCATGTTTGTTTGTTGTAGTACAGAGTTAGACTGATGGCCTTAATCTAAGTTGTCTTGTGGTTGTTGTTGTTTGACTTGCATCCCACTGGGATATTTGCACAGGGTTGGTGTACAGTGATTTTTTCTGCAATATTTTGCTGTCTTTTCTTGGATTTTCTGTTTACACATAGTCACTATAAGATGTTTTCTTGTTCATGTTTTTGTTTTTTGTTTGTTGCGGATTGCACCCGATTCAAGAGCCGAATGGCTCACCGGGCTATACTTAATAAATGAACTTTTAACTTTGAACTTTGAACTGTGTAAGTGTAAGCTCAATGTAAGTCGCCGGATTCGATGTAAGATTGTACCTTTATATAAGGCTATGTTAAAAGTCTACGGGTCTCCATCACAGTCTGTAACTTCAATATAAGTTTATGGATGCCCCCCTCCCCCTGCCGATCTCCGCTGATAATTCGGTACATTGTCATGGGTGTAGCAGCCTATAGTGCAGTCGTTCTTAACCTGGGGTGCACGCACCCCCTGGGGGTGCGAGATGCCCTTTCTGAGAACCAAAGGGGTGCAGGCTGCAGGAAAAGGTTAAGAACCACTGCTCTAGTGGCTGCACGGATTACAGTCATTTACATGCAGCACGTGACTTTATAAAACTGTCTTCTTACACGTGTCGATCCGACGGTACAGATTGTGAGCGTAAAAAATCAATGCTCATCGATAAATGTACACATCTCGGCACCACTCAGACTCTTGGTTCATTCTTTCGTGGCTATAGGCACAGGCTATCATGCCCGAGGTTATAATGGAAGATGGCTATATAGACTCGGTTAAAAATTTGGCAAAACATCAGTTCTCAGTGCCAGCTAAACAAAAGGAATTTAACTTCACAAAGCGGAAATACTGATAATATTTTACAGACCCTAGCAAATAAATTTCTGCACGAAGCCCTCCACATGCTATGTTTGTCACGTGGGTAGTTTGACCATACATCACAACGCTGATCAATGGATATTGGTGAAACGGGTGTTTTTTACGCTGGGCCGATTTGGATTTGACTTTCCACGGGCAGGAATCTAACTCGTATGCACCACTCTTGTTCATCGGCCATCACCCCTTCTAGCCATGATGTGTCCTACCAAAGGCCGCTTACTTTACGAAACAATTTGCATGGTGTCCCTCTGCCTGTCTCTCAGTGTCCTTCCAACCGTGCAAGGGACCAGACAACAGAGGGGCGCTATGCAGTGCCTAGCACTTTTCACGATTCACCTGGCGACCCGATTTCAATTTCTGGCCACGGCTAGCACCAGAGGCAAATTATATCAGTCCTGATCTCTCACTCTCCCACACCTCTTCAGCAACCCACACTTACCAGCTGGATGAAATATGGTGAATAAAAACCCTCGATGGCTGATATGGCAATTGGGGGTTGGGGGGGGGGGGTCTCCATCCAGCAGTGGATTGAGAGTGGCTGAAATGTCTTGAGTTATAGATCGTGGCTGATAATGATGTGCTGACATTTGACATAATTCCTTGGGAGGGGGGGGGGGGTCGATAACATTGTTACCTCTCTGTGGGGAAGTAAACTTTGGTTGCCTTAAGGATAGTCTCGCTCCCGTCACGGGAATGTGGACATTACATCACTCGCCCAGGGCTGTACACAGGATATGAGCAGAGCCTCAATGCTCATCTAAGCAAGGACGCTGTGGTGACGTCGTTGACTTGATGATGATGATGATGGTGGATGACAACGTTGTTGAGATTTGTCTTTCACTGCTGTGACTGGTGGCACGTGATCTGCACGATCTCCGCCGTGCCCCCCCCCCCCCCGTGGCTCTGCGTGTTTTGTTTAGAGATCCATTGCGATGTCGTCACGCGGTGACCCGGGTGAGCATCGCGAGAGAGACCCATGGGCCACATCGGTTCTCACTCCGCGTGAGTCTGCCGATGATGTTACTGACGTGAAAGTCGAGCAAACTTGATGTAACAAAAAAAGAACATCTAGACCAGCGTTTTTCGCTAATTTTCAGAGGAGGGTGAGGCACTTTCGCCGACAAGACATCATCCGTCTGAGGGGCTGCCACGCATTTAAAACCATTGGGTTTGACAGCATCATGGGTGGGCTATATTGTCGGGGGCCGCACGTTAAGGGCCGCATTAGAGGCCACCAGGGACCGCCAGTGTTCCGCGGGCCTTGCAATGAAGAACACTGACCCAGACCCTACATAATCCTCCCCCCACCCACCCCCTCACCAATCCGTCAATAACCCGTGGTGGTGAAGTATGGTCAAAACTATCTCTCTGGCCAACACGGCGTGGAGAGTTCTTTATCCAGCGGTGGATTGAAAATAGGACTGTAATTGATATTCGTATCATCATCATGCAGCTGAAGCTGAAAACCAAAGCAATTGTAGAGGGGCCTCACTTACTCAACCGCAGTACGTACGATCAACTAAGACAGAGATCCCCCATATAGCCTTCACAGACTGTTGGGCCAAGTGCTGTTAACGAGTAGCACCTATGAAGGCCTCGGTACATGAGGGGGTGGGTGGCCAGCACAACGCCCTACCGCCTTTGTTTCCCCAGTGGCGATATTTACACATCGCAGCAGGTACTAATTTGAGGCTAAGTCCACCTAGAGGAGGTCCAGGGCCGGTTCAGATAATTGTCACTGATTTTGGCTGTGAGCGGGAATCGAACTCGGGTCGCCGGGTTCGTAGCCGCAGCGCGCCACAACTAACCCACATAGCACAAAAACACACACAGACACATTGCGTGGGGTGGGTAGGTACAGGCCCTCATCCAGCAGTGGATCGACAAAGCTGGGTTGTGCACGTTCCAAGCAGCCAGCCACGTGGACATGACGTGCGGACTTATATAAACTTCTGTCTGCCCTCTCCCCCCAACCGCAACATTCACGGCCAGAAATTCCCCCTCCTTCTCTTCCCCCACAACTGTACCAGAAGTAAAAAAAAATCCTCAGCATTCCTTCTGTGCTCCAGATGGGCCGATGTGACTTTCAGCCAAAGGGGGGGGGGAGGAAAACGAGAAGAGGAAGAGAGCTGGGAGTGTTTTTTTTCGGTTGCTTTTGTTTAGAGCAAGTCTAGAGAAAGTCACAACATTTTGAAAGCTGAGTTGCGAATTCCGGGTGGCACGGATTTGCCCTGCCAACGTGCGAAACTCTTGAACTCTCATCCCAACGGCTTTCGGAGCTGGGCCTCGCGTTGCAGCCGCGGCAGAACCAGTGAGGTCGGGTCGACTTGCTGCTCGATCTTTGGCGAGACACGACGCGGGAGGAGCAACGAGAGATGTTTTGGATGAGGAGAGAGAGTGGGGTAGGAGTGAATTAGTAGCAAAGCCAGCCGAACCGTATTCATTTTTTCTCTCCCTATCTACAATCGGCCAGCTAGAAAGTGCTTATTTTAAATAGTGTCCCGATAATTGTGTGTTTTTTTGGTAATTGATAGAAATCGGATGGAATCCATTTAAGCGCGCTCAGCGGGTAAGACATTTACGTTTATTATAAGTACGTGTGTGTGTGTGTGCTCCTAAACACATTTGGAGCGAATTGTAGAACTGTTATCCGTGGTTGTTATACGAGTGGGCTAATTTACATAATCAACTTTAAATGAATTGTCGTGGGTAATTGTGGAAAATTGGCAAAAAAAATTAGCCACCAAGGCGTTAAGTATTAGTGGCGAAATTACCCGCTTTTCGGAATTGTATTTATGTTATAACTATGACAATTACCTACATCTCGTGTGTATGTATTGAGTGTCTGTATGTGTAAAATGTGTTTGCTTGTCACCTTACGGAAAACATCAGTTACGAGTATCTAAACCAGTTCTGGGCCTCTCATAGGTCAACTTAGCCTGAATATGTGTAGCAGCACTGGGGATACAAAGACGACTGGACGTTGTGCAGGCTTCACCACCACCACCACCTCGTGCGCAGTTACGGCCGTCACAGGTGCTCGCGATCGGCACTTGCCGGCACTGCCTGTGTAGACTTTACTTTACAGGGGATCTTTGCACGTTTGTAAATGTGTCCGTAATGCTGAAAGCGTCAGTGAAGGCGAATTTTAAGCTGGTGATTTACAAGTGAAATGTTGTTTATCCAGGGGAAGCTCATTTACCAGAGGGTCCTGCTCCATTGGAATATTTGACGAAATTTTATCAATGACTTATTGGTATTTCCGTATTTTCCGGATTATAAGACGCATTTGTATTTCCTGTGTTCGAAAGCAAACGTTAGGGGCGCGTCTTATAATAAGTAATTGTATGTGTGTGTGCTTGTGACCAGATTAGTGTCATTTTCTTGACACTTGGCACAACTTCAACGCTGCGTCTTACATTCCGAGGCGTTTTATAATTCAGAGAACACGGTATCAAAGAGCATGTCAGCGCCTGTCGTTCGAAAGTTGTATTAGGCGTGTATCGATTAACAAGCGAGCAATATTCTATACTCTTTGTTTTTTATCGGTAAAGTCACGTAGGCATAAAATAAAATAAATCACGACGTTTCGGGCGTAACACAAGCGTCTATCATCAGGTGGGAAAGCTTGTGTTGCGCCCGAAACGTCGTGATTTATTTTATACCTACGTGACTTTACCGATAAAACCAAAGAGCATGGATTCCTGCAGTCACGAAAGCTTCAAATCTAGATTGAGCGATATTTTGTCGATTCACATCTTGCGTCAAGGGTAACACGTGACCCATGCGGCCACTAGAGGCGCCACCATTCATTGCGGAATAGACAAGCAGGGGGGAGGGGCAGAGGTCGCAACCGGGTACCCGATACCCGTACCCTACCCAATACCCGGCTACCCGTACCCGGCCGGGTACGGGTACGGGTAGCCGTTTGCGACCCTGGTGCGGCCGGGTACGGGTACGGGTAGGCCGTGAGTCACTGGTGAATAACCGTTTGTCACTCATTTCGGGTAGGGTACGGGTAGGGGGAACGGGTACCCGTACCCGGCCGGGTACGGGTACCCATTTGCGACCCTGGTGCGGCCGGGTACAGATAAGGAATCAAAACATGTTTGCGACCTCTGGGTAGGGGGCAGGGGGAAGGGCGGGGTGAGACAGAGGAAGGTTTATTCAAAAGAGAGACTTTGACTTTAAAACAACTTTTATTGCCGCCAGCAGCAAAAAGCACTGCAGGCGATTTGGATATGAAACACAAAGTCACCAGCAAACAAATGTAAATAAACGCTACAAATCGACGCGCTGTGGCGCTAAAAGAACCGCGCACAGCACGAAAGAAAATTCACGTGGTTGTGGTGGTTGTGGTGGTCGCGCACGCCACGGTGACGAGCGAGCGTTTCAGAAGGTGAACACGAGGGTGCCGTCCACGCTGGTACAGAGAGCTTTTCCGGCTCCCCAGCGTTCGAAGAAGACACGCACATCAAAAGAGAGAGAGAGAGACACAAGCAAAATGCGATGGCTGGACATCGAACAAATCCAGCCACCGCATCGTGTGCTTTTAGATGCCCTCCTACAGCCGTTTGGAACGCTCCTTCTTCCGATATTAGGAAGCCACTTTAGCTATGCGCTTCGATTAACAATTAATAACTTTAGAACTGATTTTGTGTTTAGTTTGTTGTTCTCGCCCCGCACCTCCGATTAGCACTGTTGGCTACGTACAGTGCGAAAGAAGTTCAACATGCAGACGTATGAGAGAGGGAGAACTTGGAAGCTAAGCATGTTTGAGCCTGGATAGAGTTTCTGTGGGTGACCATACTAACTGCAAACCCCGAAGTAATATTAAAATGAGGCAGACTAGGTAAATCATAATGGCCAATCACACCAGAGCGTGGCAGGAAAAGTGGCCGAAAGCCCTATGAGAGCGAGTAGCGTTTATAAATGATGCGTTGGCTGAATGTGTTATCTAAAATTGCACTGCCCACTGAATGGAGCATTATATTGATACATGCTTAGAGTGTGTAATCTCCCGTATCAGGAAGTCAATTAGAGGCGGCGGATTATGAACAATTCCAAAAAAACAAACTCATGCAATGAAATTCAATTAACATTCCATTATTTTGAGCAGAATATTTTTGAAAAGTAGGACATTACTTTTGAACGAATTATTTGGCAATTTCGAAAAGCCATTTTCTCTATCAGGGTTTGAAAAAACGGCCACGGCAACCTTGGGGTTAATTAGCCAAGCCATCTCATGAGCAAAGATAATACGCGAGGATTGATGCTGTTACGAGAAACAATGAGCCGCAGAAGCAAGAGACCTCGCATGCAGCTCGTGGTGTCCTTTTTTACATTTTAACGCCGAGGATATGCGGGAAGCTCTCGGCAACCTCGGAAAATGATTTATTTGCCTTCAGATTTTACTTTGCTTGACTCATTCTCGAGAATACACAGTGCCATCCGGCTCATGGTACGTCAAGTTCTCCAAACAACTGGCAGGGACAGCGAACAGAGGGTCCAAGGCCAGGCAACAGAAGTCGCCATTCCATCGCTAGTGTAATAAAGGACTCTTTCACTGTGTCTGGCTCCGTTGTCCTTTATTCGGGTTCTTTACAACTTGTCCCACACGGCCCTCGCTCAGAGCCTCCCCGCTTGGCAGCTCAACAGCTGCCGTCGCTCCCGTAGCCTTTCTCCACTCCGATGCAGCTCCGCTGCAGGTTTCCTTGTGCAGTCCTCCAGCTGCTCTCACTGCAGCTCCACCGCTGCTCCTCGTTCCTCCTTTGCTCGGTCACCGCTGGCCGACGGTTGCTGAGTCTCACCGTGTGGCGATCTCGCCACTCTCCACTCTCCGCCCTGCGTGGCCTCACCCTGTCTCTATTCCCGTACTCTCCCCCTGTCTCTTCCGGTTTTCTCCCTTAAGACCTTACCCCTCTCTCTCACGTGACCTAACCCCTCCCCCCGTGACGTCATATCCGCGAGGCCGTTTACGCCCGCATTACACTAGTCTTGCCCCATTTGCCATTAATTCATCCCCACCGACGTTTATTTTTCAGTGTAACGGTCTGGAAGGATGCTCCTGATCTTTTTTTATGTTTCACGCCACATACCTCTCATCTTGTTTTAACCTCGTGGTCATCATTTTTGTCCACAAAATTATAGGAATAGAGGGCACAGAGATATAGGGTTAATATGAAAAGGTGTCACTTGGACTCTCGTGGTGGTGCCTTAGGCCGGATAAGCCCCTCCTGAAAACCAGACGACGAGCGTTTCAAAAGATATCGGGAGAGAAATTCAGCTCCGCTTCCAACCATGACTCTTGCCCAAAAGAGTCAAGTAATATATAATGAGCGACGTTTTGGGCCATGGCCCTTCCTCAGTTCTTGACAAATGCACAGAGTCTTCCTTGTTCGTGCCTGCGCACCGCCACCCATGCAGAATCGCAGTTTTTTTTCTCCCCCAGGTCCAAGTCCACTCGTTTCCTAAACAGTCACGAACGCCTCTGGCTTGCATTCGTTTTCCTGACCCACGTGTCGATATCTCCGTCCCGCGGTGTTATTCCACGTGCACGCCTCCGTACGCTTCGCCACACGCATTGCGAGATGTAGTTCAATTATCTTTGCCACTAAACATCAACTTTTTTTCCATACATCACAGCAGGTAGGGACTCAAAACTTTCTCTTTCGGGGAACATTTGGTTTGTTGCTCTTCGTTACCAAGTCTTCCGACAGCACTGCTTTTGCTGTACTTTAAATCATATTCACTCTGGTACTCTTTCAATATTCGCCAGAGGTAACGATATTCATGCTCTGCTGTATTTTCCACTTCTCTTCCCAATGAGTTCCCTTTACTCTTTGGTTCTTTCCGTAAAGTCACGTAAAATTAATAATAGCTCACCAAGCTCGGAGAGAGACACGTATACAGAGAGACAAACACAGACACGGAGAGAGACACATACACAGGGAGACACAGAGAGAGAGAGAGAGACAGACAACTCCGTGTTGTTTGTCTATCTCTGTGACTCTGTGTATGTGTCTCTCTCCGAGCTTGGTGAACTGTTATGTATTTTCTTTTTTCTTTCTACGTGACTTTACCGAAAGAACCAAGAAGATGAATCCCTGCAGTCACGAAAGCGTTAAATCGAAATTTAACCAAAGAGTAATTCCTGCGGTCACGAAAGCTTCAAATCAAGATTAGTTCTCTTTGTTGAGAGCACTTCTTGTCCACTGATTTGGCTTGGTTTATAGGTATCTCTAACTCCATGGTACAGGCCTCCCTTCATATCCTGTTGCTCATTATCATTGCATGGTTTCATTCTAACTGTGTTCACACTGCATCTTGGATGGCTATAACGGTATCTGATCCAGAACTTCATGCTCATGTCTTTATATCTCCAAACCAGTTTTCAGAAAGTGTCTTTCGATATCGCTGTACGTGTTCGGAATCTCCCCGGGGTTGTTAGTAGCCTAACCAGGGGTGAATTTAGACCATCACCTATCTGGGGGAGGGGGGGGGGTACTAAAATTGGTACCACATTGTGGGAAGCCTGCTGTTGTCCCACGGGTAGAGTTCTCTCGTTTTTGTTTCGTCTCGTTCACAGTGTATTTAGATGTATTTTCTCCACGACCTCAGCTGTTAAATCAGGTGCGGAAGCTACCGAGTGAGTGTGCAGGCGGTGCAATTGCGTCGGGGTCCACTTTTGTCAGAGGGGCCCAAGGCCCTTGGCTACAAAGTGGTGGGGAAATTATTGGGAGTTGAACTTCATTCCTCGCACGTGGTCACATTGCCAACCACCCCACCTACATCGTTGTTGTAGATGTAACGTTAGCCTGCACTGGAAATCTACTCTGGTATCTTCATGGTTGTGCTGCTGCACACGCCTTCGATATTTTTTCTGGCAGTTACCTCGTGCTGCTGTTGTCTGGCACGATATCCGACGTTCTGCTCCACGTGCAATGGAGCTTCTTCAGGAACTGAGTTGTACACGGCCAACGGGTTGTTTATGTTTGCATTAATCGTTTCATCTTTTGCATATCATTTGCATTCACTTATCTGCATAATCGGCTGATAGGCGGAATATTAATTGCTTATATTTCCGAGCCTTGAAACTCGATTCCAGTTGATCAATCGATTAACTGTGGCTCTCCTATTGGCTGGGGTTCTTTGCTACTAATGATCTCCCAGGCTGCCCTTCGCTTGGGGGACTGTGCAGAGTAAACGGCAGCCTGCATAGCCCACGGGTACAGGCCAGACCCCACTGGACTTGCCGCTTGGAGGGTGGCATCACTTTGGCAGTTAGCGTTTCTTGATGTGGTCATTAAGCAATTCGCGCTCATTTGCCACATACATGATTCAGTAGGCAGAGAATGTTGGTACTCGTTGCTGCTATGGACACTGGCCACAGTGGCTTCTGATAATTGAACTAATTGCTTGCGAGAAACTGAGTTGCTATTTTGTAGAAATGCCAGCATATGACTCGTGCGTGTGTGTATATATGTAGTTGTGAGGCAGTGTTACTGACGAGTGTGGTTCTGGTTTACATTCAGATGCAGTCCTATTTAGATGCCTTGTAAGAACTGCCAGTGGGGAGTCGTGATTACGAACCAGACGGCTAACAACAGTGGTGAGTGCTATCTGGACCATCCCTGGCATCCCACTCACCCTTCACCAACCCGCAGTTACCAAAGCACTCAACGCACATCAATAACCAGTCGGGTGAAGTATGGTCAATCTATCAAGCCGCCGTGGATTGGCACAGGGCTGTAAATGATTAATAAACGACACTATGAGACCTCCTTTACCAGTGGCAAAATATAGTAATAGGTTTTTACCCTTTCAACTGGTACAAAAACTCACACCTTTTACAAGGCATCATGTTTGCAATAACCACAACACAAGCAGTCAATATGCATAAAAAGAAACAACTCTGATAATGATAATGATATGCACTGTCCTTGAAGTTGATTGGTCCACACCCGAGACAGCTTTTCTTAGAGCCTAGTCTCCATTGGTGTTGGACCAGACGACGCCAGTTGAAAGGGTAAAAACTCATTACTACGATTAATAAACGATTCTAGCTCCAGGTGTCCATGCACAGAAGTGAGGTTGACTGTGGCATCGCAGGACCGTGAGACGTATGGCAACGGCATAGGGGAGCTTTCATCCAACAGTGGATAGAAAATGTCTCATGATGATAATGAGGCAGATCATGATGATGATGAAGCCGCGTTGTCCCGTAATTGTCTTTATCAGTTTTATTTGATCCACCGCCGTCTGGGAGTTATTCGCGTTATATTCACGTCCGCTATGCTCGGGGTCACTCTCGCTAACTGCTCTTGAGGCGCAACCCGCTGAGAATTAAGCGGGCTTATGAACCGCGGTAATCCATTCCGGCGCGCGCTTTCACCAAATTGGAAGGCGCCTTTTCATTAAGGCACTGGAGGGTGAGTTGGTGGGGGGTGGGTGACTATGCCGCAAATTGCCGCTCGGCCCCCGGCGAAAGACCCGGCTATAATTATTAACATTTCGAAAAAAAAAATACGACACTGCTCTGCCAAGGCATAATCGTCAGCACACCGCGCTTGCAGTCCGAGCAACTCCGGTTTCGGGTCGCCGTCCAGGCATGGCAGTTGAAGCAACGGGAAGGTTTACCGATCATCCCCCACGCCCTCTGTCCACCGAGCAGCAATACAGATCTGTACGACGCAGCTAGGTCAGTCGACCGGCAGGCCGCGCGTGGTGCGGTCATTTGTGGGTGCTTCCTCCTCCTCCAAGCCGTCTGGCCAGCGTGGAAGAGTAGGCCAAACACCCCGCTAGAGGTGCTCGCTGAAGCTGCATTTAGTGGAAGCCCTTTCACCGGCATTGTCGTGCGAGCAAACGATTGCAGAGCTTCACCTTTCAATATTCAATGGGCGAATTCTACAGCCAGTGCGGAGACACACTTACTGGGGTTCTGCATGCTTGTGTGTGCTGTCAACATGAACGCAAGTGCGCCGAGGCACGGGCTGTTAACCTCTGCCGCACGCAAGCGAGCGGTTATAGCCGTGATCGCTCATCCCTGGTGGTAATTTCCCAATGGGAGCACAAATGCTCATCGGGCTCGGTGACGGAATCATTCGCCGCACGCGGTTTTTTTATGACTCCGAGATCGCTCGGCAAGAAAGAGACGAGAGAGCGAGAGAGTGAGTTAGTGAGCGAGCGAGTGAGAGGGCGAGTGAGTGAGTGAGAGTGAGTGAGTGAGAGAGCGAGTGAGTGAGTGAGTGAGCGGGCTGAGTGAGCATTTTTTTTTAAACAAAGCGTTTTTATTCCACAATTGTATTCGCGTTGCGCTATTGGCGTGAGAGCGAATGTGTCCATTCCGATCTCGACGTGGCGCGGTATCGGAGAACAGACCCGAGAAGGAGATATTGCGAAACTACTTCTGACATTCCTTCAAGTGGCCCTTTTATTTTAGCCACACACGATGTTCGAGGAGCACTATCTCATATGCCCTGCTGCAGAGGAAAAGTTTTGCCAAGTCGTCGTGAAAATTAATTTAGTTTTTAATTCTCGGAGCCGGAACTTCACCAATTTCACTTGATGCGTTTTCCAGGTTGTACCACCCATGGCTTGGCACGGTGTCCGACGTTTCGCTCCACGTATAGTGAGCTCAACGGAAGACCAGCTCACTCTGTTTATGCAAAAAGAGTTGTCCGCTGCTGCTGATACATTTCACGTTCCTACCATTCTCATAGTGCAAGAATGCCGCGATGGTGCTATCGCCGAGGCTGACTGAGAAAAATGTGCGGGACTGGACTACATTATGGAAGTGGTGGAAACCCTGGCAGGGTCTTGTCCAGCAGTGGATTGACAAAGAGAGGCCTGTTATACTTACATGTGGAAAACATATTTCCAACTCTGGTGGCACCTGGCAAAGTAAAAGGGTCATAGTATTCATATGTAGGCTGGTAAATACCGTACCCAAGCCAAAAAGCAGTTGGGGCGTTGGTGGCTCAGGATTTATTCAGCAGTTCTCAACAGACCGAAGTTTCTGCAGCTGGCTTCGGCCGAAATGCAGTTGCGGTAATATGGGCTGGTCAGATCGCAGGGTGAATTGAACGCTTTTTAAATCCTTTATATTAAGTTCACTTGCTTGCTTGCTTGCGCGCTTACGACCGTAAAAATATTTCGGTCGTTTTTTAACCCACTTCCCGTGATCCAATCTGAAATGTCGCGAGGGAACGGGCACAACTGCCCCCCCCCATACTCCTCCTCCTCTCCGCCCTCCCCCTCTGAGTGCACTTCTGAGTACTGCGCGCACACACAATGCAGAAGTACGCGGTACGTACAAAAGGCAGGAGAGTGGAGATGCAGCGGTGCCAGTGCTGCCAGCGGCGTTCAAGCCGTGGCGAATCTTCGCCGCCCTTCTTGGCGAGCACACTCCAGCGGCGTGCGGCGCTTTCACCGTGAGTCCTCGTGGAACAAAACTAAACTCGTGGGTAGACTTCAGTAACTTCAGGCTGGCGCTGGCTCTCCTCTCCGTGTGGGTGAAACAGAGCTAATTGCACACAGACTCGTTGTGCGTGACAATGTATTTTCCCAAAATTTTCCACTTTTTAGGAAAAAAAATGTCATATTTAATTTAAAATCCCAATGTGATAAAAATGAAACTCTTACTCAAGAAAAACAAAAATGAATAATAAAATAAAACCGATGTCACGCATATAAAAGATTTATAGTGAAAAAAATGTGTTTTTACGGGTAAATTTTTTTAAACGAACTAGTGGCCCGCGCTTCCCTTTGGACGTCACCGTTTTGTGTGACACGCGGTAGAACCCTGCCGGCAAGGGACGGACGGTGTCCCTCTGTGCTTTTTTCCCAATTAGGTGAAGTAAGGAGGGAACATTTTAAAATTTGGCAAATTTGGAACGCGATGCTGTCATACAACCAAGTGTTGGCCCATGGGTTTCAGAGCGTGGAGGCGGTACTGCGATGATCCAGCGTTCGTATCCTTTGATTTAACCGGCTTCTCAATTGTGTCGAGTCGATGGTCTCAGCCAAGTCACCAACAAGTGCACACACAAAAAATTGTGTTCAATTGAGCATTTCACTTTATTTGGCTGCAGTTTTGTCTCTGAGATCAGAAAAAAATACCGGTTTGAAAGCGTGCGGGAACATGCGACCCCAACTCGGACTGAGTAAGTGATGAAAGCAGTCCGTTTGAAGGTCTGTGCAAAAGTTCTGCGAAGCAAAAATATCCGACCCACGGCGCTGCGAGATTTTCGAAAGGATTCATCATCTCATGAAATGGTTCCAGTAGCGCAGTGGGCATAACATTTTGTTGGGTGGGGGAGGAAAAACATCTTCCCATATTGAAAATAAAGGTGATATCCAGCGCAAATGCTACATCGCGGCGGAAAATGAGAGTGACAATGAGCAACGGAGGGAGACGGCGTTCAGGATTAATTGTGACATTGGGATTATGCAAATGTGGATCACAGAATGGAAAGCATAATGCCAGATAACACACTATTAACATATTAAACGGAACGAGGCCGATAATTAATAAACACAATTAATTGCACGTAGTGGGAAATTAATTCCGTGTTAATGAAAGAAACCCTTATTGCGTTGTTATGAGTTTTACGACGCACGGAATGCTTAAAAGCCGCAGCATTGAGCGTGGTTGCTCGTTATTTTATGGAGGTATAAATACATTTCCAAGTGCCATTTAATTCTCGTGATGCGCGAAATAATTAATGAATTAACATTTCACACACGTTAATGAAATAACATAGGCTAATTAATGGGTGAGAAAGTGTTCACACATTAAATAGACACATGCTTTTTTTTTTGTTGCAATGTCCCCTTCAATACACAACATTTACAAAACAGCTGTGAGCCGTGCATTTTACGAAGCCTTCAAAGGAGTGGCCAGACGAGAGTGAGAGATTAAAATCCTCACAGTCTCGGCACGAGCTGGGACACACGCTCGATTGATTCAATTCAATTTAGGGTCACGATGGGCACCACGGCTAAAGCCAATTGGTGCAACCACTTCTCGCAAGATCGATTTTACACATATTACACTTTCGCGACCAATATTATCCATATCAAGGGTTTTTTGGGTTAGATCGCGTCAACATAAACTCGTCGTTAACCCACCACCACCACCGACACAGCCAATTAGTAAGGTTTGTGACGTAAACAAGATGTGCCCGAACAGTGTCCCGCCATCCGTTCTGAGCTCTTCCCGTCAGTTAGCCAGATTTGTGGGAACCACTCCAATGACGGTGCCGGTAACCGGCCCTGCCCCTACCTGTGGCACCGTGTCCCACCCAGCTCAGCCGTTCCTTCCCCGTCAAATGCAACACCCAGTTGCACAACGTTCTCTCCGGCACTTCGGCGTTGCTTCTCCTGTCTTGCCACGGAATTCCCAGGATCCGTCAATTGCATGGGGGTGGCCTTCATCCAGCAGTGGATTGATCATGGCTAATTAAAGATATCTCACACGAAGGTACCACACTCAGCGTGATCAAAGGCCAATTATACGTTCGTGTCAGCAATTGTCATCACCGATTCGCGTCAAGTTGCTAAACTACGGTGGCACGCAGGCAGCCGTGTGGCGTTTTACACACACTGCTCAAAAGGCAACCCGTGATTCATAACAGCAATCAATAGACGCAACAGAGGGAACTGCATGCGCTGTCTAAATATGTATATGGGCCTATTGGCGAATACCAATTTATTCCAAGTTATGAATCTCACCACCCGCCACTACACCAAGTGCGATGAAGAATTTTAATTGGACACGCGTTTTGCGAGGATGTTGGAAGCCGCATCGTATTGTTCACACGGATTCTTCTTGTTCTTGCAAGAGTCGCCTTGCGCTTGGGTGCAACGTGATCATTTTGTCCCCCCCCCCCACCTCTCGTTTTTCATCAATAGACCTTGAGCCTCAAATCGACGACGGCTGATGGTCGGTGTTGGTAGCTGGGTGATGTTGGTGGGGTTAGGGGGTTTGTGTGGCTCGCTGGGGGATACTAAAAGTTCTGCACCAGTTTGTTTTAAACATAAAAACAAACATCGACGCAACACACACACACACTCTCGTGTTCAGCATGGACGTGGTCTCGGTTATTATATTTTGGCGTGAGAGCAGGAAGCCGATGTTTTAAGCCGAGGGGCTTTTAGGAGGCTTCAGAGAGAGGGAGATACAAAGCGAGAGAGTAAAGGACTCGCAGTGAACCGGGAAGATTGAGTTCTAAGACTTCAGGGAAACCTTTAGGTGAGGGCCGTGGTGTAATTTGTGAGCACACTGGATTTGCAATTCAGAAGTCACCAGTTCGACCTGATATCCTGGCATGATTGTCCACGTAATTTGATGATTGATTGCAATAAATATTTAGATTCTGGTATTGTTTATCGGCTATTTAATATCTTGCTCGATGCAGTTCTGCTCGTTCCATTCGCCTAAATGTGACATCAGGATGATAAAATTGCGTGCGAACAAAATGTGTGCGTAACAATTGTGTTTGTATAACGTGTATGCGTACAATAACACAATTTTGATGGACTGCGATCGATTCTTGCAAGCGCAATGTGACGTCTGCTAGTGGGAGAGGGTGTAACTTCCCGCTTGTCTGTGGTTCTTCACTGTGAGTGTGAGCGAATGCCATGCAGCGCATCGCAAGTTGGGGCTGTAATTAGCCCTGCCTCACCCACACGGAGAGGAGAGCCAGCGCCAGCCTGAAGTTGGCGAGTTTAGTTTTGTTCCACGAGGACTCACGGTGAAAGCGCCGCACGCCGCTGGAGTGTGCTCGCCAAGAAGGGCGGCGAAGATTCGCCACGGCTTGAACGCCGCTGGCAGCACTGGCACCGCTGCATCTCCACTCTCCTGCCTTTTGTACGTACCGCGTACTTCTGCATTGTGTGTGCGCGCAGTACTCAGAAGTGCACTCAGAGGGGGAGGGCGGAGAGGAGGAGGAGTATGGGGGGGGGGGGTCAGTTTTGTCCTTTCCCTCGCGACATTTCAGATGGCTGCCAGGTGCCATCCACCGTTTTTGAAGCGTTTTCATTGAATACAATTGTCAGTCAATAATGAGTAATATTTCATGTTCGTTTAATTCCAGAGACATTTTAATATTACACGATGACATTCTTATTAGTTTTGTTTTTTACGCAATCAGTGTCGTTCCCCAAAAGGAATGGTTTTAGTATCCCACCGGAAAAAAATTGACACATGCAAAAAATTGATCGCAGTGTGTGCCACCCACTCAGTACCTGCACAGCTCTGCGTTGCAACAGTAAAGCTTTATTCTTCTTGTAATAATAATAATATAGTGAACTTGCAACACCGCGCTGCCACAGCACAGGACTCGCTCGCTCTCGTCGAGAGAGGCACGAGGAGGAACCACAGACGAGCGGGAAGGCAGTGGCCACCAAGGAGTGAATCAGCACAGGCAATTGCCCAAGCTCTGCGGTCCTCTATATATTGAGATGTTTTTTTGGTAAATTCATGAATGTTTACACGTGGGAGGAAACTGGAGTACCTGGAATAAACGCACACGTGCAAGGGGGCAATACTATATCCCATACCGATTTGGAGAATATGATGAGTCAATCATCATATTCTCCGGATTATAAATACACATTCTGTCCCCCCTCCAACCCATACCCATCTAGGGAGTTAACTTGGCCCACTTATTGCGTACTGGCCAAATGTTTTAGAAGAGGTACCCACACTTTACCCTACCACAAATGGCCTGCCAATCAACTTAACTGTGGTTGCACCCGGACAATTGGAAGGTGATTCAGGAGCTTGCCCCGCTGTTTCAACCAAAGCACCAGGACGTGGGAGCGGTGGCCTCTGGGCTGCAATTGCAGTGTGCAAAACCATTCCATCGATATGTCGCCCCTATTGCCACCACAGCCACGTCCACAATTATAAGTGTGACTAGGCTTGAATAACTTTATTGACATGACACAGTGCCTTCTGTCATTAACACATCCCTCAGATTATAAAACGTAACATTTCCCCCCCCCCTCCCCCACCAGCATTCACTCTCATATATATTTTTAACTTTTATTTGGATCGGTTCAGATACCATATGGCACTGATGTTGCCCGTGGCTGGGAATAAAACTCAGATTTCTGGAATTGTACCATAAAGTGTTACGTGCGGACCACTGTGCCACGCCTTCCAACATCGACTCACACAGTGCACCGCTAACCACCGCATTCAATTTACGCACACACACTCACAAAGGCCCCCTGTTTAGCTATACAGAGGAACTGAGCAGGGATGTTTCATGAGCACCGATTATAACAACCGGCATGATGCACGAGGTATGCTGTGCCCAGCCCCACACATGTTTACGCACTACATCACGCACTTAATTAATGCTGAGTTAACCTAGGGGAGGCCTGCGACAGGGTCAGACACTGCTTGCTCTAACACTGACGT